GGGGGTCCTGGTGAATTGTGGAGTGCTGACTAGAAAAAAAAAAGAAAATCCAAAAAGACAGGAATCCTATCCTAGGCTGGAGGCAAAATAAATAAATAAAAAATAAAAAAAGAAAAGGGAAATACGAGGAGAACCGGCGAAGTGTGGTCGACCAGGGACGGCTGCTGTACAGGTGACCAGCTGTCTTCCTCTTGGCTCCAGCTAAGCAATTCATTAAACCCTTCCCCACTTTCTTTCTTCCTCTCATTCAAATTCCGCTCCTCGGTTGGCAACGCAAGAAGTGTTCCGAATATGATATTCGAAATCGATTTTTGATTTTAAACACACACACATATATATAATTCGACCGATTTTTAAAAATCTAAAATTCTTAAAAATACACAGATAATTTTGAAACATAACTTAATTAACTGTATTTTTGTTGTGTTTATTACCATAACTTTAATTGTTATAACTAAACAAAATTACTTTATATTACGGAGTACAATTTAGTTTGTTAGGATTAGAAGTTTTTTTCTCATCTCATCCAGAACCTTTGAATTTTCAAGACAATCCTACACTCCATGTTCTATGATACAGGTCAAACACGGTAATCAGGTTGTGATGTGATGACAAGGCTCTCCCAATACATTGTCAATGGATGGACCACGGGTTAAAAATTAAGTAGAAGTACAAATTAAATATTTCAATCACACTAGAAAACCAAATAAACAATTCACCCCCCCTCCCTTTCTTCTTATACTCAGGGAGCATGTACTTTGTTTGGTAGGCATTGCTCAGTTGGTTGAGAAAATATGTGCGAAAAGAGTAAATCTGAGTTCGATTCCTGACAAATATTTTGAAGCAATTATGCTAAATATAATGGTTCTGCAAGTACCAAACACATGTTCTGCCCTTTACTAGTCATTCTGTTATTTTACTTCATCTCATGTGACTGTCCAACTAGTTCTTAGAAAGCCTTCAATGATAGACTCATCTTTTTTATGTAGGGAGTACTTTATATTTTTTCAGTCCCAAATTAATTATTCTAATAATAAAATTTGATTATTTTTATTTTTACCTAATTGATATAAATATTAAAGTAAAATTTATATATTGAAAAATCACATCTAATTTTATTAAACAAGAGATGGTAATACTGTATTACTTTCATAAATATTTAGAGGAAATAAGAAAAGGAAAAATGACCTACAACTTAACGAGTAGTCGGATCATGATGCTGGACCGAGCCCAAAGTGAAACCCCAAAACATTTGCATCAACCCAACAATCCCATATCCCCCAACGGCCCAAGCCATGGATACGAAATGAAGTAGTTCAATGTTACAATTTCTCACCACGTCGTCACTCCAAAATGAAAATTACGGAGTAATATATGCTTTGTACAATCTATCTTTTTGTTTCACTTTTTTCCCAAACAAATTGAGTTTATGAAGAAAAATTTCTCATTTTTAAAAATCATTTTATTTATAAATCCCAATAAGAAATAAAAATTATTAAAAAACTACGTTAAAAATTCTACAGAACAAGAGATGACAAAAATATTTTATTTTATTAAATACTTAATGAGATCACGTAAATAAACAAAAGTTATCGAGATCAGAAAAAAAAATTGTAATCAAAATGAGAACGGAGGGAGTAAAAAACATTGTTTTCAGTCTCATTTTCCTTTTCTTTTCTCATTCATTTTCCTTGAACCAAACACTATACTAGTGTCATACTTTCTCTATCTCTGACTATTTGTTCACTTTTGACTTTTTCTGTCAAAATTGATAAATTTTGACCTTAAATTAAATAAAAATAATACTCCCTCCGCCCCCCTGTATTTGTCCACTTTCAAATGCGGACAAAAATTAGATATTGATAAAAAAGTGAACAAAGTTGATATTCATAAAAAATAGTTTTATTATGTGGACAAAAATTAGATATTGATAAAAAATAGTTTTATTAGATTTATTATATCTAACATTTATATAGTATTATTTTGTCTAAATAATGCATAATATATATTTCATTAAATTATTGGTCCAAAGTTGAAATAGTTAACCGAAAAAAGTCGAAAGTGATAAATACTCAGGGACGGAGGTAGTAGTATATAACTTTTTGTGTGTAGTACAAAAACTAAAGTTGATAATCTTTAAGAGCACTCGCAGTGGCAAGGCATTTGCCTCCCACGCCCTGCCACATCATATTTTTGCCTTGCTAAGCATTGTATACAATTGTCGGTGTCACTTGCTTTCCATGGCATATGAGAGGCAAACTATTGCTTTTCGTTCTCTTTTTTTCTTTTTCTTTTTCTTGATTTGTTTTGACAAATAGAAAGAAACATTTTTGAAGGCATTATACCTAAAAATTGGTATATTTTGGCGTTAAAATAACTTTTGTTTGTGTATATTTTTTCATGGTTCAATTGATAAAATAAAATATTTTTTAACAATTGTTTTAAAAAACTTTGGATAAAATATACTCCCTCCGTTTGCAAAAAGACTTCCCATTTTGATTTGGGGCAAAAATAAGGAAGTGTTAAATTATAGTTGATTTCCAATTTTGCCCTTGATGTGATGGGTAAAAGCAACGGCAATAATAATTTATTTTATTAAATATACCATGAAAAAGGGAAGCACAAAAAATGTTATCAAAAATCTAAAATAATAAGTATGATGTTTTTGGGAATGGAGAGAGTATAAACAAAGTAGATTTATTTTTGTGAAAATATTAAATAAAATAAATTTTAATAATAAAATACATAAAAATGTAAAAAAATGACAAAGATAGTGACTTGCAACTGCAATGCATGCCACTCCACGCTCTTGCCACATGATGATTGGACTGCTTTTTATTAGTTGAAGTGTTCCGCGTCAACGTGTGGCATTCCATTTTTTGCCTTGTCATATTGCCCGTGCTCTAAGTTTTTCCCTTGACTTGAGTGACAGGAAAAAACTCTCTAAGATTTATGAGAAAGCTTATCTAGATTCAATATCCTACAAAGGTAAAAGCATTTACTCTTTAGGTATCATTAGATTGAGAAATAAGAACTAATACTATATTGTATTTAATAAAGTCAGTAGCATTCAAAAAATTGATGCTCCATTTTTCCTTTTATTATATAGTATTTCTTCAAAAAAAATAACTTGTAAAAAGAAGAAAAACAGGTTACTATAATTTATGTAGTTTTAAATGTGTACATTTATTTTTTTAAAAATTAATATCAATATTGAAATAAAATGGATTAAAAATAATTTTAATCTAAATTGATTATCGTGTACGGAGTATAATTTTATTCAGAGACAAAGGGGTCAAAGTATATGTTATACTCCCGCGTTCCTAAAAGATCGTCACAATTTGACTTTTTTGGTTAAATTCTGGTACCCTTTGACCACAAATTATGAAAAAAAATATTTAATTATAATATAAATTTAGTATAAATTGATTTATTTTAAAAGATAATTTTGAAATATCAAAATTTTATAATATTTAATTATTTTAAATTATATTTAACTCGTGATCAAACAATGTCACAGTTTCACAAGAAAATCAAACTGTGACAATTTTTTAGGGACATGAATATATTGGCGCACGTAAGTTTTTATCTGCTATCCCCAAAACAATTCTTTTAATAAGTTCGTCAATATTCTCCCTTATATAAGAGTGTATTTATTTATATATCTCCCCCATCTCAAATTAAATTATATATTTACTATTTACAAGGTCAAATTTCATTTGTTTTTTCCTTTTATTTTTTAATCATTTGATAAAATAAAATATTCATGTC